GGGGATAATACCCAAAACATATAATGAAAACTAAAAACTAGATAGCAGATAAACAAATAACCGGAAAAACTGGTTAGAGGTCTAAACAGAAGTTTCCATAGAGAAACTCAAGTATCTGAGAAACACTTAAAAGATATGTTCAACATCCTTAGCCACCAAAGACATGCCAATCCAAACAGTTTAGATATTTCATCTTACATCATCACGATGGCTTAGGTCAATAAAATGAGTGACAGTTCCTGCTGGAAAGAATGTGGAGTAAGGGGAACACTCACCCATTGCTGGTAGGAGTGCTAATTTGTTCAACCACTATGGACACCAGTGTGGAAGGTTCTCAGGAAGATGGGAATCAAATTATCTCAAGATCCAGCTATACCACTCTAGGGAATATAACCAAAAATTGCCACATCCCACTAAAGAGATGCTTGCTGAACCTGCTGCCTCTGCTGGGCCACCCCTCCTGTCTGCCTCTACCAGCCGCCGACAGGCCTACCTGCCTCTGCTGGGCTGCCGCTGTGCCTGTCTGCCCGAGAACTTTTATTAGTTATGAAACCTTGTCCTTAGCTTAGGCCTGTCCCACTAGCTCTTAAAACTTAAATTAACCCATTGATATTAATCTACGTTCTGTCAAGTAGCTCTTAACCTCTCCTCAGTACCTTATGTCTGGCTTCCTCTGTGTCTGACTGGCAAACCCCACACACCTCAGATTCTTCCAAGTTCCTATCTCTGCCTGGAAGTCCTGCCTATCCTCTCTTGCCTAGCTCTGGGATGTTCAGCTCTCTGTTGAACCAATCAGAAGGTACCTTAGGCAGGTGAGGCAAAAGAGAGTCATCTTCACAGTGTACAAAAAAGATTATCCCTGAAAGACCCTAGCCCTTCAGGCTTACAGCCCCAAGCCTCAGGAAAAGAGAACCTTGAAGCACCAGGAAATGAGAAACTAAAAATCTAGTTCCAAGGGCAACCTGACTCAGCCACTACTCAATCACCCCTGCCACAATGTAACAATGTAAAAAGATTTCTGTTAAGAGATGTGCTTAAATGTGACTGGGATAGTTGCAGGTGTTCCAGGAAGGACCACTGTGACCTTTTTGTAAACTCCACTCCAGTCCTGATACCCCCCCCTTGAGGTTTCAGGAAGAATATACCTGTTGACGTAACTGTACCCCCTCTGTGATCACTCTGTGCCCAGACCATGATCTTGTGAAACGAAATTGTATGAAAATTGTAATTGTGTGGCTTTTGTGGGTTTTTCCTTTAAAAGCCCCCATGGGGCTGCAGTAAGATGCGACTCTTGCTCTCAGGACAAGGGTTTGCCCATCTGTACAGATGCTTAAATAAAAACCTCGTGCTGTTGCATGAACTGTATTGGAGTCTGGGTTTTTGGGGCGCCCACTTGAGACCCTAAATTTTGGGGTCCAACAATTCCAACAGTTTCCTGCATGACTAGGGTCCTATCCAGAAACTTCTTACCCAAGCCCATGTGCTGTAGTGTTCACCCTATGCTTTCCTACAGAAGTTTTGGAGTTTTAGGTTTATTATCAAGATCTTTGGTCTGTTTGGAGCTGATTTGCATATATGCAGAGTGAGAAGAATCAAGGTTTATTTTTCTACACCTAGACATGTAGTTTTCCCAGCATCATTTGTTAGAGATGCTCTCTTTTCTTGAATGTATGTTTTTTGGCATCTTTGTGATAGGTATATGGACTTACACCTATGTCCTTGCGTCCATTCTATTGATCGGTGAATCTATTTTTGTGCCAGCACCACGCTGTTTTTACTATGGTGGCGAATCTGTTTTTGGGCCAGCACCAGGCTGTTTTTACTATGATGGCTCTGTAGTATAACTTGCTATCAGCAATGGCGATGCCTCTGGTGGCATTTTTATTGTTTATCAGGATTGTTTTGGCTACACAGGGTCATTTGTGCTTCCATATGAATTTTCAGATTATTTATCAAATTTATGTGAAGAATTGCATTGGACTTTTGACAGAGACTTCATTCAATATGTGGAATGCTTTTGGTAAATGGCTACGCTCACCACATAAATTTTACCAACCCACGTGCACAGGAGGTGTCTCTGGTGTCTTCTTCAATTTCTCTCAGTGTTTTAAAGAATGCATGTGAGGGATTTTTGTGAAAGTGCATGTGGAGTTCAGAGGTCAACTTTGGGTATTGCTCCTCAGGCCACCCACTTGGTGTCCTGTCACAGAGTCTCTCCTAAGCCTGAACCTGGCCAAGTACACTAGATTTCTGGCTAGTAAAACAAAGGAAGCTTCCAACTCTGCCTCTCCAGAGGAGGGATTGAAGCCTGCTGCACCCTAACCAGCTAGTCTCCATGGTTTCTCTGGATAGCACTCAGGTCCTCAAGCTTCCATGGCAAGCACTACACCAACTGGGCCTTGACTGGACCATGGCCTCCTGCTTGGTTCTTTAGGTAGAAAACAAACACACTGAGAAGATTAGCTTCTGCATCAGTCCTCCAGAGACTCATGCCGGAACACCAAGATAAAGTGAGTTCCACTGGTGTGGGATGGTCCGTATGTCAAATTGCTCTGATTGGTCAATAAATAAAGCACTGATTGGCCAGTGGATAGGCAGGAAGTATAGGCGAGACTAACAGAGAGGAGAAAAGAAAGAACAGGAAGGCGGGGGTTGGGGGGACACTGCCAGCCGCCACCAGGACAAGCAGCATGTGAAGATGCCGGTATGCCATGAGCCACGTGGCAAGGTATAGATTTATAGAACTGGATTAATATAAGATATAAGAACAGTTAGCAAGAAGCCTGCCACGGCCATACAGTCTATAAGCAATATAAGTCTCTGTGTGTTTACGTGGTTGGGTCTGAGCTGCATTGGGACTGGCGGCTTAGAGAGATTTGTCCTGACTGTGGGCCAGGCAGGACCAGAAAAACTCTAGCTACATTCCACTGAGGCCTCTTCCAACAGAAGAGACTGTGGGGTTGGAAATACCCTATGCTTCATCAATGCCACCCCAGGGCAGGATTATACAGGGAACCCTGTTCACAGGAAACGTCCTTCTGTGGGGGAAGCATGCCTTAAGACTTGGGATCTCTTCAGGGGAGTAGGGGAAAGTCTCCCTGCCAGGAATGCACTTTCCTGACCTAAGATGAGTGGAAGAGCCACTTCTCAGCCTTCTGCCTGAGATCAAGTGAGCTGGATGCTATGTGGTGAGATGTGTTTGCTCTAGGGAACCTTAGGATGAAGTTGGCCCTCACCATTGTT